GCGGTAGAGGCCAATCTGGGGGGTCCAGATGCAACCTTATTCCACAAGGGGAAAACAAAACTGGAACATCACTGGACCAAGTGTATTGTAGTTAGAGAGGACTATATTAAAAAATAGTGTGAGAAAAATTTTACTGCCATGACGTTTTCTAGGTTGGGCCGAGAACTTTTTGAACACCCCTCGTACCGCCGCTAACAGTGCCGAGACGGCCGAGCGGGAGGCTTTCTTCATAGTATGTTTGAAATTCGATTCCCGGGGTCATTTTTACTCAGACAAACATCTAACGATTCTTCGTGTTATGGCCCAAAAATATACTATACGAAAAAAGGATAATTCTGTACGCTCTTTCGCAGAGACATTTGAGTTGTGGCGATAAAACGAAATTAGAATCAAATAGTGATGTAGCAAGCTTAGTGAACATTGGCCTATTGAGGTGGTCATACAAAGTATTTGTGTATTCGGGTGAAAACTATAGTATCCATTTAACGTCTCTCGCTCACAGTACTAGACTACTAGTGGTAAAATGGCGACTAACAAAGGCTTGTAGGACACCAGATGAAACTTGATTAGACATAGCCAATATTTCACGTTAGAAGATCACCGAATTCAACATCCTGTCTAAAGATTATAAGTACACATGAATCTGGCTTACCACGCAGCTGGAGTTTGTAGAACACAAGTCGGGATTGAAGAGTTTGCGAGAACATGTCGACTTCTCACGATGCCTTTAACCCAGTTCAATTTGATGGGAATGTAGTTTTTGTGCTCATTTCACTTTAATATTCATTCGGCCTATGTGAGCCTGGCGGGGTTTCCTATCTCACCAGAACATCATTGTACAATTCGATCACAGATGCACCCATTGCTTAATGTTTCTCATACAGACGTATAATGCTGACGACCAAACAGCTCACGTTTGGTACCCTTCAATGTCCGTGGACACGCGGCCGCGTTCAGCCTCTGACAGACGAAATGGGGCGTGAAGAAATCAACATCATTGGGTTATGTCATCAGTTGTGGTGAATCGGGCGATTTAACGGCTGGTTAACCTCGTTATGAATGGGGCGTGTCACCGAGAAGCACCGATTCTCACGGGGGGACTAATAACAGTTATTGTTGAGTAAAAGTTGAAATGATAATGGATGCGTGATTTTCATGTTACCGAGAAAAAGTTCTGATTATACCCTCCAAATAGGCCTCGAAAGTAAAGGTCTCCCTGCTATTGCATGCTGCAATTTCCCGTACAAAACTCGGGGTTTTGTGTACATCTCGCGTGCCGGCATAACATAAATACGGGGTGATGAAGACATAGCCGCTGAAGAGCTAATTGAAAACTATTTATCTTATGATAGCACAGAGGAACTCTATAATCCGTCCCCATACCTGACTTTCAATTTAATCTAGGCCATAATTCTCAGCACGGATTTGTCCGTAATGACGGCGGGCTCTCTGCTTACACCATCACCCGCGGCCATTACACCCAATTTGGAGCATTAGCCAAATTACTACCCTCCCTCCCCACAGCAATGCACGACACGCAACCAATTAGAAAATCTATGCAGCAAACATTTCAATTACATTGTGTGGCCTAGCTACAGCCGCCATCTCGCTCGGCTGTGTGGAGCTAAGTGCTCTTCCCTCTGCCCAAGGCTCTGTACACGGCCTCTCTCCTGGCCGCAGTCCTGCCGCGGACAGAGTAGCTCTTCATTGATCTGATCTGATCCACCACACAAGAGCGCGGGATTCGTTACCTCACAAATTAGTCGACATCATTGAAGGGTTTTCCACGAGTTATAAGAGGATTAGAAGATTACTTGATGTGTATTTCCAATCTTGCCAGAGAATTAATCCACGTGAAGCGGTTGTCAACGTGCAAATTCGGCTTTATGTGGTTATTACACCCTGTTCTTATCATACATAAGTTATCAGTTTTGTCTAACTGGCTTCATCGTTAGCGATGAACACATGGAGCCCGTTGAACACAAGGTCACTTTCAACGCTGTTCTTGTGATTTCCTTGTGTAAAAATTACCTTAAGTTTTACTTTGGGACAATAATCTATGATATAGTGTAACTTCACGTCAGTGCTCCGTACTCTACTTGTTTTTGTTCACGCTGCTTATGCCCAAATCTCCACGGCCGTCCGGTGCCGTCCCCCGTTCATGATCACATCCCGCAATGCCCGTTCTACCCCGTGCCGTTCTGCCCTCTAGCCGTCTCTCAGTGCCCAGTTTATCCTGTACCGTTCTGTCACGTCTCGTCCAGTCCCGTTCCCTTGAACTTCTAACTTGTGCTTGAAAATAGTCTTGTACCAGGCCGATGCTGTCTCCTGTCGGCCAAAAAAATCGTCTGTAGGCTTGTCTGCTTAACATTAAAGTCACCAGTAATGGCGCATTATTTTGTCTTCCATGACACCATTGCTAAAGATAGACTGCGTTCTCGTATGTGTTTGTCATGTTGTGATCTCCACACCCACGCGACTACCGGACTTAAACTCAAATCAGAACTTACCGAATACAGGCGGCATCTGCGAAGTCTTACCGCTGATCCCATCTGACAGGTCTATTAACCCGCCTCTGTCTCTAATGAAGTTAAGCATAAGAAATTAATGACGTTTTGTTCGTGTGTCCGGACTTAAAAACAAGATCAGCTCTCGGATTTCTGCCCCGCAGATCCGATCCACCTGCTCATCAGCCCGGAGGTGTTGAGTTCCCGCCGGTCCGGACCAGGTGGGTACGGTGGTGACGTAACCGCCAACAAATGACAAGTACAATATGGACAACTTCCCACCCGCGTACAAAATGTGTAATGCCCGCTATCGTGCGGTATCATTTATGTCCTTGTGCACAGATGTCTGGCTGCCAGTGTTACACTAAAACATCAAGCGTGTTCAGCATAATTAGTATTCTAGCCTTTGATCTACAGTCCATTTCATCATTTTAACCACTAAACACGAGTCCCAGAAATAGTTATACCACAGTTCAAATTGAAAAGGTTTAAGGGAGCAGTTTTCCGCTATTTCTGTGTGTCCCGATACCTTGTACAAGTAGTTAATCGTCCGTGACTAAGAACAGATAGAATCGTTTTATGACTAACGATGTGGCTAACATTTTTTCCTCAAAGCATTTACAGGAGTGCTACTGAAGAGGCCTTGGCGATAATGAAATAAGAGAGCATCGTGTATGACTGGTATCAAATTATAAAACAAGCTTTTATCGATAATGGAGGAGCAAAGAACACGTGGAAATGAAAGAAATTTCGGCGGAGTCGGGTGTATGTGTGAACGAAAGTCCCGAGGGCAAATTCTACGTTTAATGAACAGCATGAGAGAGCGGCTACCGACTACGGTTTGACTTCAAAGACAAGATGTTCCAGTACAGTGCCGAGTCGAGTCTTGGCGAAGTTCTTTTGCTTACCGTCACCCGTCAGGTGTCTGTTTGTGTTACCAAATAAAGTGTTGAATTTGCGATACAGAACAGACAGAATTTGAGATTCATCAGCAGTGGAGTGACTGATACTTGTATGTCATCGCAAATTTTGGACACCTTCTACAATGTTGTTGTACGTGGATTGATAACTTACTATACGTCAATTTCTGAATATTCAGGTGGTTTCATGTGAGGATTGAACGACATATTCTTTGTATGCACAAAGATACATGTGTCTTTGGGATACAACCCAACTTCTTGAAATCATTATAACATATTACCGCGCACACTATCAAACCGTACATCTGAATCAAATACTTTCTTCAACACTTGGTTTTTTGAACTTGGCAGAAGCGATGCCTTTGAACACTTGGGTGGGCTATTTTAGATAGGTAACTGCTTAAGTTGTGCCTGTTCTCTGCTACAGAGGGCGTGACGATCGCGAGTGGACTAAAGAAGCACACTCCTCAAAGATGTAATACTGATCTGAGATGCCAGAATAAGATTCATCTCTTTCATACCGAAAAACCTCTGATTCTCTTCTTCCTGTACACTTATGTCAACTCATTTTCTCTCCAAGCAGAGGTTTTGGCTGGAGCTAGCTATTAGTGGCCAAGTTTTCTTTCCTCTCTGGAGGGAGGACGAAAAGAGAAATCACGGCTACTACCACCCGAGACCTCTGCTTGGAGAGTAAACTCTTTATGTCAGTGTATGTCAACTTCTAACACTGTCCACTGTTGTTACTTTAAATCGATAATTAGAAAAGTGCAGGTAATAGAACCCCCCACAGAAGTGTCGTACAACCAATAATCTCCGAGAGCCCACTGGTCACTGAATGAAGAAATAATTGGAAACATCAATGTTTTCAAATTGCATTGCGAGACCTTTGTTCTCTGTGGATTTGGCAGCTCTCTGATTCGGCTTAACGTTTAATTGTCCCTAGGGATCAAACTACACATCAAGTAGTGCGCATAGGATTCATTGTCCAATTTCTAGTGTGTTATGTAGCGATTATAGGTAATTTGAACACTTGCGACAGAAATTTACAAAATCTATAGCGTGTTGATGTGATCTCTGGTCATAAATTGACTATGTTGAAATGAAGAACAGAAACATCACCAGTGTTCTTTTTAACAAACTATGATTCTCTCAATTTAGAAAAGGAAAATCTGACTTTTTTCTGACTTGTAAACCCAAGAGGCTTCTGTGTTACTGTCACGGTTTCATTATCTAAGCACCTACATTAATGTAGATTATCACAGATACATGTAAATACTGATGAAACACACGTGAACTGTTCATCAAATACAGTCACTATCTAACTAACACGAACTACATTATCAAGATAAAGATTATATCTTGCTTTTAATGACAATTTCCTGGTTTTATGTAAAGATTTACAATTTCTTCGCGTGCTCATGATCGCTAGTTGATGAAATATGAGATAGTTTGGCGGACATGCTCCCGAAGTTTCCGGGCGCCCCCGCCTCTCCTCCGGGATCACGACCGCCGACCTCTCGCCACGTGTCCCTTATCACCGGGGGCAATACTCGGGCTCTTTGCGGGCGGCATCCTGATGACAAGCCGCAGAATGATAATCTCATAAGAGATTTAAAACTAGGGGCTAATTTGCCTACATTCGTCCTATCACAAAACGGATCGGTGATTTGTTAACACGGGAGTCATTGCGCATGACACGAGCTGGCAGTAGAGGTTTCTCCAGTCGGAGTTCTGGCACCTGCGCTTCAGAGTGTTCTGCGCAGAACAGACTCGTACAGCAGTAGAACACCGGCCTATCTTAGTAACCTCGGGCTGTGTCGGGCAGTTTCTTATTCTGATACACAGTTACTTGTACAGAGGCGACATTTTGGTGTGGGACAGTCCATAACGTGCGCAGGACAACAACCCCGTGCACAGGTGTTGTCAAAGGATTTTTTTAATCGGACAACAAGTTTTCGATTTTAAAAACCAGCAGGTGCCGGACGCGAAGAGACACGTTCCAGGGAGATCACCATGTTCTCCCAGTCGCAGAGCGGCAACACGACAGCCTTCCTGATCGAGAACATTCTGTTCGACAAGCACAAGGACTGTCCTCGGCACGGCGAGTTGGTGGTGCCGCAGCCCACACGGAACTCCCTGGTGGAGGTTGGTTTCCCCGGCGTGCTGGCCCCGGCACCCTCCGCCTTCCTGCCGCACGGCTTTCACCCCTACCTCCACAAGCCGGGCCTGCACTCCCACTATCTCCTACACAGCCATGGTGAGTTTATACAAGTCAGGATTGCAACATCCTCAGACTTTACATTTCCGGATATTGTCTACATCAATTTCTGTACCTCCTAAAATATATATCGGACTCTAACAGGAAAAGTGCCTGTTTCCTGTTACTTTATTTAGCGGGGGCAAGCAAATAAAATAAGACTGTTTGAAATAAGGCTGTATCACTTACGTTCATTTCCGAACTACTTGAACAGGTGCGGCTCATATGGCCCGACCTGCAAGACATGAACCTGCACAGGGCACACCTGCTATCTCGAGGTCCGGGGTTTTCGGAGAGATGGATTAAGGAGTAGATCATTTCGATATTGTATTATGACAGTAACTGTATCTATGTTCCTCCTTGTTGCAGGAATCCCGATGTCCCCGCTGTACCATAACGGCGGGTTCCCGGGAAAGCCGATCCGGCGGCGGAAGGCCCGGACGGTGTTCTCGGACTCTCAGCTGAACGGTCTGGAGAAGCGGTTCGAGAGTCAGAAGTACCTGTCCACACCGGAGAGAATGGACCTCGCCGCCGCGCTCAATCTTACAGAAACACAGGTGGGGACATTTTCGTTATTGTTGCAATATTCGGTTGTTGTTCGTTTTGTCTTTGATGGTGGTAGAATGTGCCGGTGGCTGATATCATCGCGTAAAGTAGCTCTCTCGTGCTGATTTTTTTTATAGTTATTGAAAAAAAAGTCATGTGACGAAAATAGTCATTATGAAATAATGTTTTTCTAGACAAATATATCTTCTTTAAGAATAAGATTTTAACTACTAGTGCGTAGTATTATAATACATTTATTCATAAGTCGATTTGGCATCCACTCGTATCGTCAGTGCACTAGGGAGTGAATCAGTAGGAAATTCTATACTGACAGAAACTGAAGGAATATGAAACAAACCGACAATTATCACATAACTGTTTGCCCCCATGAAAAGGCTCCCACGGGACTAAAAGGTGGGACGGACAGTAGAGGTATACTCAGCATTGTAGCTCACACGTAACACGGTCAACGGGTCAAGGGAGAAAGTCTAGCCGTGTGCGGTACAATATCCAACACGCTTGGAACGATCGTGTACAATAGACAAGTATATGCGAGGAAGTTTAGCGAAAGTGGATATAAAGACGGTATGTTATGTTGTGAATAGCTAATTTGACGTAAGATGTAACGTTATATATCATTAACCAGTTTGGGGATTGTTTATTCCGCACGTGTATTTATTCCACACGTTTATTTAGGAAACGCATACACACACATGATTGATGGTCTTGGGTACGAATGTAACATAATAAGACAGTGATGTTAACGTTATTCATGTGCAGTACATATTGAAACGCGAAATCTTGCTTACATAAAACTGTGGCTTCTTACATAAAACTGTGACTGGAAAATCGTGCTAAACACATACAATGCTATGATATTGAAACATGAAAACAAATCTACAACAAGTATATTAGTTATTAGAGGTAATTTGTGAAAGATTAGCATATTAAACAGGGCATGTTTGCACCAAGGCAACATTGAATGATAACTGTGATTTTGTGGTTACTCCTTAAAACCATGAGGTCTACGTCCGGTGCAACAACAAAGGCATCATTCTCACATATTGTGGGTAATTCCAGCTAAAAATAATAATAAATATCTTGAGATAGTGACTGACCCTTTTATGTTTAGCGGGTGTTTGAATTCTTGGTGTCTTGGACAAAATTGGGCACACGCTATCTATTCGTCTTAATTCAACGAATTTAGCTGATAGTTAAGTACTACTTGAAAAACAGTGACTTGATGGTGAACCATGTCCTTTATAAACTGCATTGAAACCAACGACGATAAAACTTACCTGGGAAAGCAAATGCTTGGGAAATATTTCTAGAAATTATAACTGGTTGGTTTCCCTCGCCGGGTCCAAGAACGATGATTCGAAGGAGATCCTTGAGCCGTTGCTTAAGTCGTTTGTTTGTTTCACGATAGGTGAAGACGTGGTTTCAAAACAGACGTATGAAGCACAAGAAGCTCCAGAGGAAGAGAGAAAGCGACAGACCGGCGTCGGCCTCTTCGGCAGACGACGTGGCCAGACCGGAGCACCGAGCGACGATCCACGACAAACTAGACATCTGTGCGAGTCCCGAAGCCGCCTCAGATACGGAGGACTGAAATGGTACCATTCTGAAGGTCCAATATTGTTAAAGATTGATTTAAGCTGGGGAAATTATTTCGCATGGCCATTCTTCTTATCTACCTAAGATTTATCAAAGATGTATGTCGTACACTGTCGTTAATACGTCTAAGAATGTTTGAACCTCAAGAGCCAGCGAAGATCAACCTGAATTGTACAGTAAGGTGTTTTACGTGCACAATGTATTTGATGAGAACGAAGTGTGGTCCAGAGTCCGCTTTGTGTCGTTTTTTTAATGTTTCCCACTATTAAAGCGTTCGTTTCATCATTTGCTTCTCTTTGTTTTCTATTACCTAGGATGAGTACATCTGTCAGGTTTCAAGCATAAGAATCACTTGGTTGTGGGAATGTTGGACATGGATTTTGCTTACTGTGTTTGATTTGATCTTTTCTGGGGCTATAACAACCAAAAGGATTTCTTGACTGATTATATGGTGTAAGCAATATTAATCATAAAGTTATACATAGTCTCTGCTTCACCTAAACGGCCGAGCTGCAAAGCCGTACAAAATGATGCAGCGAATATTTGCAAACTTAACATAATAGAAATTTTCTGTGTTACGCATCGATATCTCGCAGTCTTTCACATGAAAACCATTTGTAATCATTGATCCCTGCCATCACACAGGCGCACTCATTGACAGCTTGGAGGGCTGTTTTCTCAAGAAGTTTATCAGAAGCAAGTATAGCTTTTAATGATTTAGCACAGCCAATATGAGACAAAGTAATGCAAATGAATGCTTTGGTGTCAACCTGAAGAAATTTTGGATGCTGTACTAGAAAAGAATCGAAATTAACCACGTACAGCTGATTATGATAAAGAACGAATCCCTGTTCGTTTCTTCGGTCATTTTGTTCACCGGTTAGCTGTTTGATGTGATGGGACCGCAGAGAAAACATTTGCACTTAAACAATGAAGTGATATTCCCAGACTAGTGTTCCCTGCACGGTACGATCACACATAAAGCCTACACGTCACCATACTATCACACAAGAATACCATTTTAAATACTAGTAGTAACTCAATCTCATGAATTCGTTGATATTTTGCTAATTAAAAGCAAATGTGCGGAAACTGCAAATTATATTTGCACGGACTACTAAATATGTATACCATATACAGTTGTTTATATTGTTATATATTTGTTGTTTCATCATACCTATACCTTTACAATAGCAAGAGAAACAAATGGGTGCAACTATAGCAGTGTTGCTAAATTATCGAATATACATTAAAGCCACTACTAATATTCCAACAGACGAGAAACAATGGTGTGGAAAATATCACAGAAGAATGAAGAAGAGCGATCTATAATTCTGAGAAGAAACACACAACAGTTTGCAACCACACCACACAGCGTGCCTTCCTTGTTATAGAAATTAAGAAACAGAAGATGAAGTAACATAATCAATCCGTCTTTCCTAAAATGAAATAATTGTTAAAAGCAATGATCCACAGTATCGTATTATCGTGATCTGGCAGTGCAGGTATGACCATCTTACACGACATTTTCACATCCTATAGCTACACACACAAGTAAGCAGATAGAGAAGAATTGCTGCCACTGCATACGGAGGCATGAAGTGAGAATTCAAATTCCTTGTTCTCTAGTGCATATGTTGTTCAAAATTTCATTCATTGTAGGGTGACATTCTCGTCAGAGCAGAATCTGGACTGACGTTTTGACATGATAATCTTCAGATTTTCCGCCGCAGTCAAAGGTTTCGGGCAGAGGACGGACGAACGGCCGCTTATCCTAGCAGACAGAGACAGAGGATGTAATCACGCGGGTTCGGCCGACGTGGGGAAATTTTCAGCACGAAACGAACAGACTGCGGAGGTGGGGGTTATGGCACTCAAACCGGTAATGCGGTACGTACGTAGAAGGATGTAGTCTGTCGGTGCTATTGCCTGTTACAACTTGATGAGTTTTCTGCAGACCCTAAGAAGTTATATTGCAAAAGAAAGAATAGCTACGAAAACCGTGGATTGCCCAACTGTGTGCATACTTGCGCACACATGAGAAAAGTCTACCTGGAGCCACCTCGGGTTCAGTTAACTTGAACTTGAAACCCACCACTGACGAGGACAGTTAATGAAATCATCTCGCATGTTCGTGCTTGGGACTAGTCTCTCTTGTTCCTATTCCAAGTTGTACGGGTTCGAAAGGTGTCATGTCGGTCTCGCTTTCCGACAGACACTTGGGGCTCACCTAACTGTTTGTGTCGTATGATGGAAGTGTGGTGCTCATTATCAGATGGCATTTCAGCCCAGATGACCAATTTCCGACGGGAGCGATCCCCTGTTGAAGTGCCGCTTCGAGCACAACCTCACACGGTGGGTACTCGGCTTCCAGGACACTTCTTCCGCCACTTACAAAACTTGTAAATGGACCTGGAGTGGCCGGAAAATTCAATAAAAGAGCGGCATATCGACGATTAAACGGGTAATGATCTTTCGACTGCAGATGAGATACATCTCTTGTGGTGCTTCAGAGGACCGTTCCTGCAATCATTATGTCTGCTCAGCTCGACTCATCCGTTTGTGTTTCAGAGTTTGTGCACGATCATGGCTGTGCGGTGAAAAGGGTCAAAGAATAGTTGGACAGGGATTTTCAGCCACGATTGTAGCCAAGAAACGTTACTTTCCATATAGATCCTGTCTCCTGATGCTATACTTGAACATTTGGGGCCTTATCACGTCAAAAATAGGGGCAGACAATCAAAATGTACTATGATAATGTTCTTAGCACTACCTGGACTGAATCAAGGTACATAAAAGAAAAGCAGATATCACAGATGACATGGCGAGTACAGTTTAGACTGAATATGGTGAACTGGACTGACTGTGAGAGAAGTAAGTAAAGGGTTAACGGGTAGGGAATATGGTTCAATATATTACAGAGGAATCAGCGTACTGTCGCCTCGGCACACATCTTTATGGAAAATATCCAAACTTTATCCGTATGGCGCTGTATGTGTTATCTATATATTATGAAGAGATTGCAGCCATTTTGACCGAGTGTAGTGTGAACTGAAGATCAAGAAGTGAAGACTGATGGATTGCTGCCCCCTGTGTGTCTGTAGCAACCGGGTGAGTCCTGACCCCCGTGTGATTTTCCTTCGTTCGTAAACCAACAAGGCAATTTCGGATTTATAATTAATGAAGGCCTTAATTGCACATTTTTGCCACACTTGGCTAAGTACAGGTCACAACAAAACTAGACTAATTGGAAGGTGGGCCATCTAAATCTTTATTCAAGTCCAACTGCCCTCGTAGGTATGGAGGTTTCCATGCTTGACTCTTCCTTATTCAAATAATTTACATCATCATAATATCACATTTTATCTTACTTAGATAAAGGTGTAAGAAAGTGATCTTGCATCGATTTGGCTCACTGAAGAACTAATCAGTAAACTAACACTGGTCTGTTATAAACAACAGACGCTATATAGAGTATAAACAGCTATAGGTTCATTGTACTGGAGAAATTCCGCTGCTTCTTTTCGACAAGTGCAGTATGAAGGAGCCGATGGACAAGGGTACGTATAACGTACCGCCCTGGGGTCTGCGACTCTTGTCAGTAGCATGCATGTTGGGGATTTGAACTCCCGGCGTCTTGTCCTGGCGGTAGGCTCCCTAACCGTAAGTAACCTACTGGGATATGGAAAGTGGTTTGCTAAAGGACAGGAAGGCCTTAGGGCCCGGCACGCCGACAAAAGCGTAGTAAAATTGTTACTCTGTAGGAACAGGACGCCCCTCTGGTCACCTTAACACGATTAACCGGCTAACATTTGAGGATATCCTACTTGATATGGTTGCCGGTGGTTGTTAGGACTGCCCATTACTTCCACACTCTACAACCACCGCCTATTTCAAGCGGAACAGGTAGATAACCAGCGAAGGCCTCGGTAGACCGATAACACACACCGTTTCCTTTTTCCCACCGATCTAAAAACAGATATAACTTTGCTGATTGAGTTAGCAAATCTGGAAAAGCAGGATTTAGAGGTGAAAACTGTCACAGATACTTGATACAGTGAGCAGCCGTAACGACATTAAATATCAGGGACTGCGCAAGTTACATAAATACATGTACTCGTAACAGTATTCTTTCAGACGAGTTTTGAAAATTCCAAAAGTAAACATGCATGCACTCATTCAATCTACTGATGTGATACAACATTTTTATTCCTAGCCGGGGTCCGGAGATACTAGTATAATGTATGGTATGTTTCATACAGTCCTGCATGGACGAAAACTACAGCCTCCCTTTTTATAGTGAATGCAGTGTACTGAATGAGAATTACTTTAGTGGTGATTTGTCCATTTCCGACGCCAAAAACAGGTACGCGCCGGGTTTTAAATGCCGTTTGCGTTTATTGCTTTCTAGCAGATATTTTGTGACTATTGTACATTTTTAGATTAGTTCAGTTCAGTCGCGTGTATCAGTATAGTCCAAAATTTTGAATAGTTAATTTGACGATTGGAAGAAAGAGGGACAGGCCACTTATGCGCAGCCCAAGCCCACCATACAATTTGGAATGTGTACAGATACGCGTTTTGTCTAAATATAAAACTCAGCGTCGGGTTTTCTAGTAGCTTGTTATCTTTAATTTACTCACATAGGCAATCAGATGTCGCAGGCCCTTCGGCAGTGGTTTCTGATTTCACCGCCATGAAAGTCACCTCGGGAAAATCTACTTTAGAGCGGGAATATTATGGTTTTATTAATGGATTAATTGGGCTTGAGTATCAAAGCAAGTGGCTATTACCCGGGGCGCTCCGCTAATCATGGCGGCTGCTTCACTGAACTGTGTGGCACGCGCTCTTTTTTTTAATGGACGTCAAAGCACATTAAATCAGTATCGCAAAAGCGTTTGATATACATGTTTTTTTGTCTCCTCACTCTGCAATTTTGCCTCTTTCCCGAGCCTTCATACCAACACCTTCAATATTTTGTCCAAAAGTTGTTGTAGCTTTTGTTTGAAAGAGCAGTGACTGGTAGTTGGGATAAGATATGGCATGTACCGTCTACATCACAGAACAGGTCCCCCAAGTCCTCTCACTCTATAGTAATTGACCTTCTATATTAGATTTATCCCTTAGTTTATCTGCCCTTAGCTAGGGATAGTACCAGGTTAGTTAGACCAGGTAACCAGTAAATTGTCGCCGCGGCATTTGCTGTACATCATTGCCCCGTGGCCGCTGGCCAGCCGTGGGAACACGGGTTTGTGCAGCACCTTTGTGTCAAGCTGCGCACGGGCCATTAGCGGTCAATTCCTGGCGACCCCGAGGGGGCGAAGGGCGGGGGTCTCGGGAACACCTGCTGTCAGAATGATGGATGTGAGCTCCGGCCAATATTTCTCTATAACTCCCTAACATGTCCTCATGCCCCAACTGTCACTTTAGTTGTCAACGCCTGTAAAAGACGTAGAGCGACTGTACTGCACAGAAAAGTGCAATTTACGACCCGTTTACTATATTCACGACAATACTGATTGCATTACAACCTGATGAGAGGCGGATACAATAAAGGACTTAAATGAAAACTTTTAAAGAAAGTCTTGTGAAATTTATGACCCCTGATCCTTGAAAGTTTACTTTCTAGAATGTTCTGGAGTGATATTTCCGGACGGATATTTGCTCACGTGTTGAACACTGTCGTTCATAGATGGTGACGTCCTTTGTACTTTGTTATTTTCCTCAGATCTTCTCTTTTAGAGAGGTTGTTTCTCTGCAGTACAAAGCGTTCCACACAGGGTACACATTATCAATTTACCTACCTGGATACAGGCTTGTGTCGATACCATCTGTACTATCACTAGATCTAATTATCTGTTGTATGTGGACTCGTCTCCATAGCAAAGTAATGGCATCAAAGTTGCCCCTCAGGGCTGCCATCAGCCAATCAGAGACTCCTACATTGGGTATCAAAAGCGAGTGTTTCCACTCGTAGGTGGTAGCCCTGGGCCAAACGTCAGATTTTCAAACGTTTTCCCATTTGGAAAGGTAAATCCATTTTTCGCAAGAACTTCACGTAAGTAAGGAAAAATAGGAGATAAGCCCGTTTGTTTCTGGTCGATTATCGAAACTGTTCAAAAGATGATATGATCCTTACAGGAGCTTATATCATGACAAAAATAAACTTCAAATGTCATAGTGCAGTGATGATCCTCAAATTAACTTCAACTTAAAGCAAAATTATATTGAATGGTACATTTATCTACTTGTGTACAGTCTGCTTCACTACTAACCGTCCACATTACAGAATGCATGGTCCCAACACAGGTGTGATCTGTAGATTCTTCTACAAGTGCAGATTTTGACCAAGCCTGACAAGTGATCTTCGTACCAATACACTCCGACAGCTCCATAATCCACGACCCTTGGCTGAATTAGAATCTGCTTTTCCAGTGATTCTCGATGGTCCAAAATTCAAATAGAAAGTTACATGTCAATTCTAAATCCTTATCTACCTATTTCGCTTCATGAGTTAAAGAGGTGAAACGTAAGAGCAAAGTGCAAGATTGGCTTGGTAGTTCATCTGCAAAAAGGACTATTAATGCTGCAGTTGGATTTCCATTCCACATAGTAACCAGCATGTTATTATTAACCAGTTATCAAACTGTTTGTTTTTATGGCTTTAACCATTTTCTATGATACTATTCAGTCATCAAAATATCAACACAAAAGTAATTGTACACTGTTTGGGAAAATGTACCCATGTGTTCTTTCCCGTTTCAAACCAACGGCACTGCACGTATTCTGTACCACGTCCCGCACCCACTGGCGCCCTCTGCCAGCCGCACTACGCTCATCTCATCTATTATAGCCAGTTGAAGACGAGAAAATGGTCTAAACATGAAAAAATAATTGACATGTTTGTCTCGTAGATTTCTAGTAGCTTTCAGTGTATTAATCTTCAAATGCTGCCAAATTTGCAGGCCGTTAGCTCGACATTGATAACAGTCATTTTCTGAGCACTACAAATTGGTTGTAATGGTCCGTGCGATGGTTTGACGAAATGGGAAAAGCACTTCAACTCACAAATTACAGTGTGTGCGCTTAGTAAATTGTGTGAGGCACGCAGGAGAGGGCAGTACTACAGAAGATTGAAAGGCGGGGAGGTAAGCCAATTAAAGGCTTTCCAGCAGTACATGCTGCAGCAAGTGCTTTCAATTACCCCATTTCTGGAGTGATTTCGGCTGGCAGCAAAGGCGGGGGTACAGGAAGGTTAGCAAAGGGGTCTACTCCAAACTTTGTTCGAACTGCGTGGGGATATTTTGTAACGGTACAAGCTTTGGGGTTTGTGAAGGTTGATGGCTACATGGCGAGGTTGAATGTTTTCCATTCCGTGGAAGTCATATGAACCTTGCTTTACTCCAGCTAGCATTGTAAGAAAACGGCCGCCTTCCTAGTCAAGGCCAAAGGAGACACTACACTTCAACATTGATATTGACAGGACAAGTAGAAAATACGATCCGGGGTACCCTAAAGGCAAAAAGCCTTTACACAATACAACTCTAACTACATGTACTAAACTTGTAACAGTTATTTCCTCCCGTTCTTATTGTTTTTTAGCTGTCGTATCCAGATACACTTGTCCCTACCTTTAGAGCAAATGGCACCTCATCCCAGTAAGAGAAGTAATGGTCCCGCTACAATATTGTGGCTCGAGGTGCCAATGTAAAATACCTCACTCCGCGGCTGCCTCTACTAAGAGCGATGCAAATGATCTCACCACAATGTGGGTAATTTGCACAATTTGCTCTTAAGTCTATCCTGTAAATCTCTAGATAATGTGGGTTAATTGTTTTTAATAGGGGGGATGTGTGGGGGCACCCTTGGGTCTATATTCATAGCTGTATTTCTTCTTGAAGTGCGATTATGTTCTCGGCACGCCAGCCAACACTAGACAGCCCGACGCGCGTTACATTACCAAGCGCACAGGCGGGCATTAGCCGAGACATGGCGGCGAGATTGCGTGGACACTTCTGACCTTGAAAGCCTAAAGGAGCTCTTAATATCTTACCTCCTCCTTTCCCCACTAGAGCCTTCAAACAGATGGGTCATGATCACTCAATAGCAACAAACGCGCGCTAAATAATAACTTCCTTATGGCAGAATTCGAACTTAATGGTCGGTTGTTAAAAGTCGGTGTCTTTAACAGATGGGGCAGGCGGTTGGCTGCAGCTAACTGCGTTCTGGTCATCTCTGAAGGGTTTATTGATCCCATTTGATCACGATATTGTATGAGGAGGCGTAGGAGAGGTCGCCATTTCGGCACTCCACACAAGAAGCACTCGTGCGAGGCGCATTAACAGCAGGATCGTTACGTTATCATTCCTATACTCTAACGCGAGCGAACGTCTTCAGATGGTAACTTATCTATTAACAGCAATGTGCTATACGATCTGTGTACCTGACTAGTACACCATTTGGACCTTAAAGTTTGTAAAACAATATGAAGGCGGCGATCGAGCGACCATGGAGTTAAAAGTATGATTCCGTCAGTAATAAAGGCGACTAAAATTAGTTGCATTGGAAGAGGAGACAAATGCACATCAGATCTTGACAAGCAGAAGCATGACCTAAGATTTAGCTGTAACGTTTAAACACATCTGCATGATCCATATATTGTTCAATAGGCACTAGAACCGGCCGCACACTGCGAGCTGAATCCCGTATGGACATGAAGATATAACCGCTCTCCGTTTGGTGCACCCTTACATCTTTGGTCCACCGTGTTAAGGTCATCCTTGAATATCTGAATGATTAACCGGTCCATTTGCTGACTAATGTATGTTAAAAGCTCTGGGTGTGGAGCAGCAACAAGAGGGAATTTCAGGGAAATAGTCTTTTGAACAGGGGCGTAAAAGCCCAGATGTTGTGGCTAACGTTTTCGGACGCTCAATAAAGGCTAGAATGGCCTCCCGTGCCAACAACACCATTAAACTAACACTATCGTTCATCTGTGGCTGACGGGGACGTGCGGGGAATGAGAGCTGGTGTTTAACCTTTATTGACTGGACAGACCTACAGTTCTGCTGTGGAAGTAATTCTGAGCAAAAATGGATGATTACCAGGGAAATTCTAACATACTCATCAGTATCTGCAATCACTTTCTTTGTCGCGTAAATGGAAGATATGGTGACATGACAGGACAAATGTCCCTTTCCCCTCGCGTCATGTTAAAAGCCACCTACTGTTATTGCATTATCGATATTTTCAAAAGTTAAATTAACATTAAATGGACCGCGACATTCCCAAAGGGATTACGACGAGCATTGCCAACATTCGTTTTCAACCTAGAGTGCGTGTAACGGTTATATAAATCTGGAATATTTGATAGAAATGTTGATCCAAACAATAAAACCATATGCTTGCGGGTTTTTACTACCGGTAAGGAAGGAAAACGGAAGGGCTTATCTCCTTTATGTATTGCTTTATGGCATAATTGCGAAAATTCATTTTTGCATCGAATACCGTATTTCTTGCTTGATGGAATATGACTACCAGCTGAACAATGTGGATCATTGGGAGTTGGTCTTGAAATAAGTGAAAGCAACAAATCGACTTTGTAACTATTACGTTCGCTGAAACTCTTTTATGTTCAATAAATCTATTAATTTATGCCGCAAGACTACCAAATTCGTAACAGTATACGTAACTTTGAAAGAAGTATAATTTTGCCCATTCCTCCTGTGGAAAATGAGTGATTCACCCATCGGACGAGAGCCTTCTGCAGTTCTGTACAGTCCGCAAGGAGCCGCTGATGTTAGGTTCCACTACTGAAGACGGAGGCATACCGTCATCATCATCATGGCGATTGTTATGAGGCGGGAACTTTGAGTCCCTTTACTTCCCTGAAAATATTCCTGAGGTTTACTGTGAAACGTAGTGTTACTTGACGTAGGACGGAGAATGAATAACAGAGGAAGTCAGTCAAGAGGAAGACCATGGTGGCGTGGGCGTGGTGGGCGTGGTCACTACAGCAGACGTGGTCAGAGAGGTGCAGGTGGTGAGTGTGGCTTTAGTTTTGGTATCTTCAGTGCTGAGGAAGGGACGTCCCTAACCATTAAAATCTGACAAAGCTAGGAACTCATTTTCATCTGAGTGAAGTGAGGAAATCTGTGCCTTACCCAATGTCACAACATCGAGGTATGTTTAAATTATGGTGGATTTGAATCCAGGACCCATGGGTTCTGGGCCGGGTTTACGGAAAAACCTGGGCTGTCTACCTTGCCAGGCTACCTTACCAGTCTACCTTGCCTGTCTAGGACGTCAGGCTACTGAACTCCCCCCATCCACAGCCTCACGAATGGCAAGACCTCCGAGCAGCCGCGCCCCCTGGCGGAATGCATCAGAATTGCACCCACTCCTTTGGCACATGCGTGTGCACAAACCTTAGGCCTGACTAATCGCGCTCCTGGCGGCCGGTCGCCCCGAAGTGGGTGGGGAGCATTAACCTCCGGCCGAGTAACACAGCAAGAAATCTACTGAGGCGAATAGAAATATAAAACTGAACAAGATATTATATTTTATTTTAATTTTTCTTCTAGAGTTTTAATGAGCCAAGGGTAATCAACAGTAACAGGGAGACGGATCTCGTGGTTACGTTGAGAGCGCGCGGGTCGGGGTGTGTATTGTATCAGAACAGGGTGAACTTTTAACCTTTTGTGCGGGGGCAGCATTGTCCATGCCGCACATCTGTAGATAATCTTAGGGACTGTACGATATTTACCGGAGGAGGAGGGCTGGTGCAAAAAGGATCCGGAAAAATTTTTTTCCATGGCCCTCGAGCTCCCCCCGGCTCAATTTTTTTTCAATGGCCCTCCCCCCAACCCAAACAATTTTTCGGTAATTTTCCATGTGATTGTTTCTTTCTCTTTCTCCTTCCGAAAATTCCCGAATACAGTACGCATCGTGATCGAAGTACGCACCCCCCGATTTGGGGCTGGTGGGAGACAAATATTCCTGTCTGAAACGTACGCACGGCCGGTACCACTGTGGACATGTAGTTAAAAAAAAATTCTTAAAAACTAGATTTATGCCGTGTACTACGTGATTGTATGGTAACGTAGCGGGAAACGCTTCGGCCTTGTTTTCACTTCTGGCCGCAGCCGACTTGCAAGACGTCGCCACCGCGAGGTAATCAGGTAAGGCAAGTCCGGCGGAACGTACAGCTTTGGATCCCGGAGAGTGTTGGTGATCAAGCAAGCAATAGTCTATAAAGATTTGTGAAAAAACAAACAAAATATTTAACTATTGATTCTATCTGTAACGGGGGGTAGTTCAATGTTGATGCACACGTACGTAGCTTTGTTGTTTTTAGAATACGAAATGCGCCGAACACTTCTTTAATAGCGCCCGCCCGATCGACCCATGGAGAGAAACAATCAAACGGGCGGAGAACTGGGCGGAGTATTTGGGTGTAGAGGTGCTACCGAATTTAAAATTTCACACCGAAACCAATTACGCAACAACTAAAGACTACTGGCGATTCCGAACAGGAGAAAGTGAAAAGTTTGACTGCGTTTCAAGTACTAGTAATCTCGTTATGTGATAGATGTTTTTGTCACAAAATCAAAGGAATAAACACTCCGAGGGAATATTAATTTGTACTCCGTAAAAAGTACAGTCTGTACAGAGGAAAAAAAAGACTTCCTTCTCGGGGCTGTCCTCAGTGCTGCCACGGCTCTGTCTTCTTCAGCTGTAGGTGTCGGCTCGTCAAACACCCCACCCATCGGCCGGGCGGTAAGATTTCATCAAAGACTACATTTTAAGTTAACTCCGCCCCTATCATTGAAGCTTGCCGAACAGTCGGGTCCCGTAGGAGTACATCTAGCTGGAATTTGCACCTCGTACTGGCTGGTATAGCCCGCTACAAAGTAATTTCCTGTTGCATTTATCAAGATTTAAAAATATTTGTGATACGAAGTGAAACATGGATAATAATTTCTGTCAACTGAACCTTTGAAACGGCATGGGCATAATATTTGTTGAAGTTCAACTCAAGCCGGAAGGGCATTTAACTGACCATCAGTCGAGGCACGACTGTTATGTTATCACGTTACGTTACGTTACGTTACGACGAACAAGAACGTTCACGCGGCTTGCGGACCATTTCAAATATTACCACTCATAAACCTCTCGCAATTGTATAAGTACTTACGGGAGGTTATTTTTTCGGCCGGGGTTCCACTGAGATCGGCGCCGGCTGGCTGGGGAACGATCCTGTCGGCATGACAAAGCGTCGGGCGTCATTGCCAGTGACCTACATTTTCTTACCGTGGGTGACTTGACTTCTTCTTTTACCGCAACTTAGTGGCCCTTAGTGTCAATATTGACGATAGTCAGAGGAAATATGTTCATTTATTGAAGTTTAACTTTATTTCCACTAATCAATATTCTTATCTAAACATGCTATGGACGATCGATGTCGCTCTCCGTGCCGATGTTCTGCTATATACTGGGTCGTCCATGGATTTGTCGGGGGAAACCACAAATAAAGTACGCACCCGGTCTTGGGCAACGGCCCGAGACACTTTTGGGATTTTAAAAAATTTAAAAAGTACGTACTATATTCTGGAATTTACGGTGTATTTCTTGTAATTCTGTACTACGCAACGCCATACATTTCACAAAACCTTTTCGGTGGCCCTCCCCCCTCCAGGCCGATTTTTTTTCGATGGCCCTCCCATCGGTTAAAATATTTTTCCATGGCCCTCCTCCCAAGCCCCCCCAAAAAATTTCAATGGCCATCCCTCTCCTCCCCCCCCCCCAGTGCACCAGCCCTCCCCCCGGTAAATATCGTACAGTCCCTAAGATTATCTACAGATGTGCGGCACGGACAATGCTGCCCCCGCACAAAAGGTCAAAAGTTCACCCTGTTCTGATAATACACACTCCGACCCGCGCGCTCTCAACGTAACCACGAGATCCGTTTCCCTGTTACTGTTGATTACCCTTGGCTCATTAAAACTCTAGAAGAAAAATTAAAATAAAGTATAATATCTTGTTCAGTTTTATATTTCTATTCGCCTCAGTAGATTTCTTGCTGTGTTACTCGGCCGGAGGTTAATGCTCCCCACCCACTTCGGGGCGACCGGCCGCCAGGAGCGCGATTAGTCAGGCCTAAGGTTTGTGCACACGCATGTGCCAAAGGAGTGGGTGTAATTCTGATGCATTCCGCCAGGGGGCGCAGCTGCTTGGAGGTCTTGCCATTCGTGAGGCTGTGGATGGGGGGAGTTCAGTAGCCTGACGTCCTAGACAGGCAAGGTAGACTGGTAAGGTAGCCTGGCAAGGTAGGCAGCCCAGGTTTTTCCGTAAACCCTTCTGGGCCAACCACCCAACCATAATTAACTCTACACCACACGATCCCACTTATTTTCTCCATGTCTATTTTTAACACCTCATGTCCTCAGGATCAGGTTCGACCAGCACCAAGAGAGGTGGGTACAGTGGTTCATCAGGAGCCTCCCAGACTAGACCGCGTTTGTCACAGACCATCCTGGAAAATATCATCCCCTCCCCTACAAGGGCTGGCACCTGTACTTCCCAAACCAAGGTGATGATGGCAGCTCTTGTATGTCAGACTTATGCCTACTAGTACATTACCAGTTTAACAACAATTTTCAGTTTAATTAGTCATTGTTAATTTTGCCATTAAATCATTGGTCACTCAACGCATGTCGCTGTGCTCAAGTGGATTTTCTGGGTGCCTATTTTTTTCAGTTTACTCAGAGCATTCCCCTGATGTTGTGAGGACACAGGCCTTTGAGAAATACTTCCTGTCTATCCTGGACTTATATGACAAGGTAATTCAACTTCTGATGTGTCATACTGTTTTCTTTTTTTATCTCAAGTTTGAGCCTGCATGTTTCTAACTTGATCATAATGAACCTTTACAATATCAAGATGCTTATTTTCTCCTGACAGGATGAAATCGAGCAGAAAGGTTCCTTAGCCATAGACTTCAAAGAGCTTCTTCAAGATGAAGGTACTTGTAATGTTTATGGCTTGCTTGGTCATCCGAGCTTATAATAAATGCATGACAATGATGTTGCATATAGTCTCCTTACATGTAAGGCAAGTATCTACATATAATGGCAATTACACCACAACAGATCAAACAGTGGCTTATAGTTGGACTTCTTGAAAAGCCCACTGAGTCTCTTGTACCATTTTCTTTAACGATCCATTTGTTAACTGTTCAGGAGTCCGTTCAACCGTCCCAGACATGGCCAGTGTGATGAAGGAAACTCCAGAGAAGATCCTGAGCTGCCTGGGACTGGCTGTGCACCAGGTCAGACCACAGGAACTGTCAGGAAATACCAGGGCGAGGGGAGGGCGACAAAATAGGAAACAAGCTCAATAAGGTTGACAAAAGATACAGATGAGAAAAAAAAGTTATCATTTAGCTCATAATCATTTACTGTTATAGCATCTGCCCAATGTAGTTCTTTGACCTCAATATGAAGATACTAGTACATGTGTATATGTATGTATAGGTCCTGACCCATGACCTGGAGAGGCAGGCAGCTGCCCTACAACAGCCTGGGGAAGAAGATGGAGAAACTCCAGCTGTCATAGCTGTTAATGTCCCCCTAATCCACACCAGGTCAGACCTAACATGCTACGTAATGTGATAACTTTTATAGATCACAAGGGATAAAGAAGTACATGTATGTTGGTTATGTGTACTTGAGTACATTTGTTAAAACATGTACTTTTGACAAATGATTATGTGTATTGTGTTAACCTTTTACATAAATTTGTATGCTTATTAAAATAAGTATTCTTGTTTAATTTTTCAGGGTATTCAATTATGAACCCATAACCTCTATGAGAAGGCTTAAGGCCAATTTCTATGGTAAGTTTTTCCTTTTTTCAACCATTTGTAGATGGTGTTTTAGTCATCGAAAGGGAGAAAAGGGAGCTTTCTGTCTTTCTGTTTTAAAGCATTATTTGTGGCAAAAGATAATAATCTCCCTGCTTCATATTTGTCAGGCAAATATGTGTGCATCAGAGGAACAGTGGTGAGGGTCAGCAATGTGAAGCCCATGTGTATCAAGATGGCGTTTGAGTGTCTTACCTGTAAGGGAGTGCAGGTGAGATAAGGTTGTCTGTTGAGTAGCTACATGTACATCATTGATATTGTTATCTCCCTGAATTTCCAGTGTTCCTAATTCTTTTTAATCAATTAAAAACATTTTTTTCTCCTCAGAGAGTGCTACTTCTAGAAGGCAAGTACTGCCTACCAACCAAGGTAAATGCTCCGCACATACAGTCACGTATGATTGATACAAACTTAAGATTTTTGTCCTTCTATTAGTGGATAAATAGAGCTTTATATGTGACAGTGACTTACCTGTAAAAGATGTCATCTCCTTCACAAACTATTTGCAGCCAGTGCAAAAGACATATAACATTACCTTTTCTTGACATGATTTTCTTTGGGTTCTTACTTGTAGTGTCCAGCCCCTGACTGCAGAGGAAGGTCTTTTGTTCCCCTTCAGAACCACCAGCTCACAGAAACTGTAGACTGGCAGACTATCAAGTATGACACAATGTTTTCTCAAGTAAAGAATGATGCTATAAAATGTAGATGACTGAATGTTTGTAGTACATTGTAATTGATATGAAAGATGGGAGAGGATATCAAAAAGAAAGATTTAAAGTACAGTACGTGTAGAATGCCACATACAGTGTATTCCATATAATCCCTTGTGCTGGAGGATGTAAGAATTCCTGTGGGTTCTTGCAGAGTACAGGAGCTGATCACTGATGAGAACAGGGAGGCAGGCAGGATCCCCCGGACAGTGGAGTGTGAACTGACCAGGGATCTTGGTAAATCTAATTCTGTTGTGAACGCACTTCTACTGTGCAACATGTAGCACAGAGCTTCAGAGACACTCCGACCATCCTGTCATGTTTGTTATTTAGACATTAAGTTGCCCTTGTTTGATTACCTCTGTATGTTGGACATCACCTCTATTGAAGACAGTATAAACACAGAAGGATTGTCCTCTCACATAAATATGTTGTCTTTTACACAGTGGATAGCTGTGCTCCTGGAGATGTGGTTACAGTCACTGGCATTGTCAAGGTCATGAGCTCAGAGGAAGGTCAGGCAATCCACACGTCTTTTGAGTTTTATTTTATATTATATATATTGAAAAAAGGTCTCTTTCAGTTGTGTTTATCCTCTACCATGTTAGCTGTGTAGATTGAATTGTTTGGTAGAAAAATGTCACAAAATCACAAGAATCTGGTCTTGTAGGAAGGAGGAAATCAAACCGTGACCAGTGCATGTTCCTCATCTACATCTCTGCCAACTCTGTGAGTAAGACGAAGGGAAGGAAGTCCACTAAGGAGAGCGGCACGTCAGGATTGGCTATGGACTTCACCCTGAAGGAGCTGTATGGTATCCAGGAGATCCAGGAGGACCCACATGTCTTCAGACTCATTGTGGGGTCTTTATGTCCAGCTATATATGGTCATGAGGTCAGGCTTACTGCCTTAGATTACTGTTTTTTGTGCTACATGGACCATTACTGTTGGTTTAGAATAAAGGATGTACCATGGACTTAGTGAAGTACTAGTTGACAGCACAATGTATATCTTTTGGAATGTGAGAGGGTAACTACTATGACAAATGAAATGTATCCTAAAATGATCTATCTTTTATTCATTGAATTCTTTAACCATTAACTAAAATATATTCTTTTCTTAACATCTAAAGTAAACAAAATACTTCAATTCCATGTATCTTTGCAGACAGTGAAAGCAGGTCTGGCCTTGGCCTTGTTTGGTGGCAATCAGAGGTTTGCTAATAACAAGGTAAGTTAGAGACATGTATCATAGCTGTAGATATCAGCCCTGAAATGTGCAGTCCATACACACAACTTGGTTTAATACTCCATTTATGAGTGGTGAAAAATGTATTTTATCCCATAACGTACACTTTGAAATGACTCTCAAGTCTCAACAAAACATTTAAAGATTACAAATTTAGCCAACTGTTACAAGTAGTAACTGTTTTGAGAATGTTCTTTCAAGTTTGAAATACATGTAGAAGTAAGCAAGCAAGGGTAAATGATGATGTCTCATTTTAATCATCCAGTTTTTGGAGATCGTTGCAGAAATCTCTGTGTTTTTTTTTCTTCATCTAGAATCGTATACCTGTCAGAGGAGATCCCCATGTTCTAGTGGTTGGTGATCCTGGACTGGGCAAAAGCCAGGTTTGTCATCTATAGTTCTTGCCAAGCTGTTTGTGACATTGTATTTGTAGTTTCCTTCAAAATAAGTCACCAAATGTATCTTTCTTTGATGGATAGATGCTCCAAGCAGTGTCCAATGTTGCTCCCCGCGGTGTCTACGTATGTGGGAACACAACTACTGCATCTGGACTCACTGTAGGTCTACCTGCATCTGACTACTCAAGTGTCATCCTTTATGATTTTAATTGATGAATCTTATCATAGTGTTTGATTGACAACTTCATCATACACAGTTGTTTTGCTCTTGTAAACAACCACTGTGACTGACAGCAGCAACACATTTTTACCTGAATGAGTTGACAAGTAGCTTACTGTCACTACACTTCTTTTGAGACTCTCCCTCTTAGACTTAGACTTAAACATCAATCTACATGTGTAGATGCACATCATTTGTTTGGCAGGTGACCCTGAGCAGGGACAGTGCATCAGGAGACTTTGCACTGGAGGCAGGAGCTCTCGTGCTAGCTGACCAGGGTAAAATGCACTTGTCTTAATCTTTTACTGTTATTTCACTACGAAGGCAGCTCATAAACCTTTAAGTTTTTCTTATCTTGTATGGCGAACAATTCACGGAGTCACACTGTCAGTATTATGATTCAAAACACTTTCTGTTCTAGGCTGTTGCTGCATTGATGAATTTGACAAAATGACCAACCAGCATCAGGCTCTCCTAGAGGCAATGGTAAATACTCTAGTAACAGGATACCTTCATTTATACTGATAAATAAAACTGGACTGCTTATCCTCTACTAGTCTAGCCTAGTGTAAAATTGTTCTCATTCTAATAGATCAATTTGTACAGTCTGCTATAACAGTTCAGCTCTCTAGATCTACAATTGATTGCCATAGATGCACACTGAAAGACTTTTGATGTTGTTTGTGTGTTACCAGGAGCAGCAAAGCATCAGCTTGGCCAAGGCAGGCATAGTCTGCAGGTGTGTGTATAAGTCTGTCTCAGTTCATGAAAATTAACTTTGATTTAGCAGAATTCTATACAGGACAGTAAAATTTCATTATACAATTCTCAGAAAATTAGTGAACTGTTATGAATTTCCTTAAGATGACTCTTCCCTCTGTCCAGCCTCCCTGCACGAACGTCCATCATCGCAGCAGCCAATCCCGTTGGTGGGCACTACAACAAGGCTAAGACTGTGGCAGAGAACCTCAAGTATGTCTCTCACAAATGATATCTTTAACTAAAACTATTACTATGCCAGTAACCTTGTACTAATCACAAATACACACAGATATTTCTACTACAAATGGAACTGAAAAAATTAAATAATAAGTAATTAAAATTCTTGCTAGTAATGTACGCATCCATCCCACAAACCATGGAGGATGTCAGTAACTCTAGTTAGTAAGACTAAGTGGCGTACATCTGTTTATTGTGTTTTTGTTGTTCCAGGATGGGTAGTGCCCTTCTGTCTCGGTTTGACCTGGTGTTTATTTTGCTGGACAATCCTGATGAGGTAATGACCAGTCAGTTCACCATGTTGTTTGTTTACCTGTATGCAAGCTTGTGAGTTAGATGTATTGGACAAAGATACATGATTAAAATCAGTAACTATTAGATAATGTATGTATATGTTCCATGATCAATCATAGACTACTGTACACACACAAATGTACATGTTCTTCAACTTTCAATGACAATACCAATCCCCTGATCATTAGGAGTATAATCTGAATGGTTTGGTTGGAAATTTCCATCTCATTTTTTTTTTACCAGGATTTGGACAGCATGCTTTCTGAGCATGTCATGGCACTAAGGGCTGGCAGATGCCGGTGAGTATACCTTAATTGATTATTGTTGGAAAATAACATTTATTGCATTCCCATTTGCTGTCGAAAATTTACATTGTAGTCATGGTTAACTTCCCTTTACTTAGATTCACTCGAACATAGTTTGTCCAGACATTATGACACTTTTCTCCTTTCCTTACAGTGACACCACAGCTGTCAGAGTGAGAAGAGATGCTCAGGTAAACTGAAGATTTTATGTACTTAAGGTTTAACTGAGAAATGATGGTTCAGGTAAGGTTCTCCGTATTCTAGGTACATTTGGACACGTATAAGCTTCTAAATGTACTTCCATATAAATACATGTATACTAAAGTAACTTTCTCAACACATCATGAATCTGCTTCTTAGTGGAAAAGCATATCTGCATAACAATGAGCTACATGTACAAAATATCCATTTTGTCATGGCTTGTAAGAGTTGAATGATGTATTGACATCCCACTGGTACCCATGTATGCTCTGTACAGACTCCTGACGATGACGAGGCCAGGAGACAGTGGGAATTGGGAAAGCCGGTGTCTGAACGACTAAAGGTACAGTTCTGTACAGGATTCAAGACAGTAATTGTATATTCTGTAGATGTATACATAAGAACTTGAAGAACAGTTCTGTTTTTGTCATGAGCCGGTCATTGGTTCGTATCTTTATGAATGATGCAAAGTAACATGAATAAAAGTAAATGTAATTACCTCCCTCCATTAGTCCTCAAAGAAAAAAGGTTATTTTTTTCTGAGTTGTTCAGGATTTTTCCAAGTCTGTTTAATAAGTAAAATGAGCACTTAAGTTTCATACATGTTGTTGTCAAACAGACTATCTTTGTTTTCAGATCAGCAGAGGTGAACAGTTCGACCCCATCCCACACCCCCTGCTAAGAAAGGTATCCATCAAACCTTATTTAGATTGCTATGTTTTCTGATTAAGACAAAGTTTACTGCTAAATTCTATGCTTTTAAAGGTCGTACCCATACTTCTGAAAGAAATAAGAATATGATGTTCAATATGATAAATTGCACAATTACTATATGTCAGTCAACATGTAATGTTTTTTGCAGTATGTGGCCTATGCAAGGAAGTATGTCCATCCAAAACTGTCACCAGAAGCCAAGCAGGTGCTTCAGGTCAGTCTTCCATTAAACCTACAGTATGCAACTTATGTTTAGAAAACACACGTTACAACAGTACAGAAAGTTAATCTTCTCTGAACACTTTGTAAGTTGTCAGTGCTTAAGAATGTCTATTGTGGTAAGTCAAATTGTAATCAAACTGTCTCCGACATGTTTTCAGACCTTCTACCTTGAGCTCCGTAAGGATCAGCGTGGCCCAGACAGCATCCCCATCACCACCAGGCAGCTGGAGTCTCTCATCAGGCTAACGGAGGTCTCTCATCTGCTCTTCTGGTCCTCCTGAAGGATGATTGCCATTTGAAGAGTGATCATCTTGTGAAATGTTGGAAATAGCTGCTTGCTTGAAATGATGCATAGAATGATAGATATTTCAGTTTCTGTCACAATATTCAAACACATTATGAAGGCTGCAGATAGACAGCCTAGAATGCTTTATTCTATCTTGGCCCATTCATCAGCTTTTGGAGTATCCAATGACTACTTTTATCTGCCTTTTTTGTAACAAATTATGCAGCATGCAAATTGTCTTTGGCCTTTAAAATTGTTAACATCTTCTGCTATTCAGTGCACTGGAAATGTTTGCCTTTACAGTTTGAAAATGTGAAGTGTCTTCCATGCAGGCCCGTAGCCGTTTGGAGCTGAGGGAGACAGCTACCAGTCAGGATGCACAGGATGTGGTGGAAATCATGAAAGACAGGTTAGATATTTTGTCAATGAAACGAGGTTAAAATGAAAGGACATACGACTGTCACCGGTCTGGTTGGAACCTTCCCATAGTTGATTTGTCTTATAAGGGTATAAGAAGGATGTTTTGTGTATGTCATCAGCTACAACAGATATTTAAACATTGATAATCAGATTTGACCACTCTTACAATAACTCAGCAACATAAAGCATATACAAACTGTATTGTGTAACAAAGCTGGTACATTATTACCTTCGCCAAGAAGGTTATGTTTTCAGTAGCGTTTGTCTGTGTGTGTGTTTGTGTGTGTGTGTGTGGTTTAGCAAGCAGTGGATGGATTGGAATGAAACTTGGTAGGTGGGTAGGTCTTTATGAGACCTAGAAATGATTAGATTTTGGGCCCCCTGGCGGCTTTCCTAGGTACTGCAGCAGAACTTCCGGTTTTGATATCTCGTGATCTGGACATGCTAGGGTCATGAATTTTGTATGGCAGATAGCTCTTGGGATAGGAAAGAAGTGACACGAGTTTGGGTCCCCTTGCGGCTTGTTCTGGAACTGCAGGAGCATTTCTTTAAAAATTTTCGAACGAGGATAACTCAAGAACCGGTTGACGGATGGTCATGATTTTTGGTATGTAGGTAGTTGAAGTGATGCTTGACATAATCAGATGACAATTATGCAAATCAGGAGTTAATTTGCATAATTAATGAGGAAATTCTATACATCTGCTTTGTTCGATAATAGAACTATGAAACACTTGTGACTTGAGAACGAGAAAAAACATCTGAGGATATATATTATGTAAATGAGGACCTAATTTGCATAATTACTGACAAAATTTTATGATTTAATAGTTGTAACTGCTGGGAATTTCATACTTGCCACATTTGGAAGTTAAGTGAAGGTGAACATCAATAAACATAATTTATTCAAATCATGACCTCATCTACATAATTTATGAGGAAGTGCTATAATAGCCTTTTTGTTAAAATAAGGCTGTCATTGGGTGGAGAATATGATCAACTGATATAATCCATGCAAATGAGGCTCTTATTTACAAAATCAATGATAAAAATTGTATAATCGCAAGGGTTAACATCATTTGGCGAAGGTATGAGGTCGTGGAACTCTTGTTCATAATGCCATGTGCCACATACCTAACACAAAACCATTGTTTGCCTAAAGGTATAACATTGTTCAATTCATTTAAAAACACTTTTTTTTCTTCAGCATGTTTGACACCTACTCAGATGAGTTTGGGCAACTGGATTTCCTGAGATCACAGAATGGGTCAGGCATGAGCAGCAGGAGCAAGGTGAGGTCAAAGCACAAGTGATTACTTATGACATGTTACATTATACATGTACCTTGTAGCTATTGTTTATCAGCTTGTTTTATAATGCTTGACAAAAATGTTTGTTCACACATCATAGAGACTTTCTAGATTTAGTTACTCTTCACATTTTTGTATGTCTCATTAAGCAAGTGCAGGCACATGTATACTTTGAAGCTGCTACGTATGTAATTTGTTGATACATATGTACAATGTTTCTGTAGCCGAAGAGATTTGTTGCAGCCCTGAACAGAGTGGCAGAACAGACCTACAACAACATCTTCACTGTGCAACAGATGAGGGAGATTGCACAGGTTTGTATAGGGACTTGCAATTTGGTGAAGTTTAAGCAATGATGTTGTTTTATGTCTTTGATATGCCAATGTTTAAGAATTTATCTGTACCATACAGTTGATTATATGGCCACATCCTCTATTAAACATAATGAGCACTTCACAATAAACACAATATATTACATGGAAGATTGCAAATACGGAGGAGATATATCTAGTAGGCATACCAGTATATCACTAGAAATAGGTCTGTGCATGTACAGGTCAATCTAAGCATGTCTTTTTTTGTCTTCTGCAGAATTGTGACGTGAAGGTTCCAGACTTTGAGGGATTCATTGCCTCTCTTAACAACCAGGGTTTTCTACTGAATAAGGGTTCCAGGGTGTACCAGCTGCAGACAGCTGGGGTCTGATCCACTCCCACTCACTCATGTGCAGGGTACAGCCAGTTACCCTGCAGACCTCAGGCTGATCTAGCAGCAACACGACTTGGACTGTATCAGTACATGTATCAGTTTGATGACTCAGCCAGAATCAAAGTTACTATTACATTCTGGTCGTGACTGTTTACTGGAAAACAGTTTGAATCTCCCTGGTTCCAAAGAGGTCATGTCTACTTTCATATCTGACTTGTTTCTATCTAATAGATGTTCTGTGTTATGTTCCATGTTCATCAAGTAAATATATAACTTTTATATATATATTCTGTTGTGTATTTATTTTACCAAGGATTTTTAACCTCCTTGATTGTACCAAGGAGCTTCAACGTCCTTGATTGTACTAGTACATACTATTACATGTAGAATGAGAATAAAACTGCAATCATAATATTCTGTGAGTACTGTATTTCTTATTCTATTAAGGTGTGTTGACCATAGTCCATGTGCATGTCAGATCTTGTAAAATTAAATGCTACAATATCTTACATGCACATGGAATATGGTCAACACACCTCCTATTGAGTCCTAAATAGCTCCTGTGGGCAGGGTTACCAAAGTCTTCCTGTCAGGTAGACATAATAGGTTTCTTATAACATTGTACCATTGACAGCCACCACAAGGGAACAAATAGTCATAATCTCCATACATACAGGCTGCCTTAGCCAATGGGTAAAATAGTCATGAATTACAACCCGGGGGGGGGGGATTGGGCTGTAACATCATTGGCAATATCCTAATAAACAACTATATCATGTTGGAGGGGCACTATCAGGATAAAACATGTTTTCTCATCAAAGGTGGATTTTTGTTCTTTTTAATGCATTTTACTTATAAAATAATAACGTTAGGCCACACCAATTTAATTTCTAGGTTAACGGATTTTTCTAGAAAAATAATGGAGCGGGCGGGTGAAAAAAAATTAAAATAAAAACAGGCCTAGGCATCCTATTATGGCCCAAAATGGTACGATAGGAGCCATGAAGTTAACACAACAGGCTGGTTCTAAACTTAAACAATGAATTTTGAACTTTTAATGATACCACTGCATTTAAAGATGGAATAACTGTAACAACTAGGAAGAAAAGGACTGTTTTCAACTGTTCAGGGCAAAATATGAGCATTTTGCAGTTGATTCTGAATTTTTATTTTTATTTGCAAATCAGAAAAAAATGAAGCGGCGAATCCGTTAACCAGGAATTTAAATTGGTGTGGCCTTACATGGAAAAAAATACATAACATGATGAAACAAAATTAGTATATAATGCTGTTCGTTAAAAACATTCAGCAGCTAGTAAACCACCCTACTTGGTCCATGGAGCTTTACGCGATGAGAATATTGAAATATTTAAATTTTGGCGCCAAGAGGGCAGACGTCTGGGTCACTTATCCGGGACACTGGTGACCCAGACGGAAAGTGGCCCATCATGCCTAGCGGCTACTCGTAGACAGGTACACCGCAGACATGGCAATATTCATTTTAATGTCGCTGAATAACCTCATGCACTCACTTTCTTCCATTTTGGATAACTAATCATATACATAATTATATTAATGTCTTCTCTCATGCTGACGTTTACGTTGATATCCAATCGCGGTCTCTGATTTCTTTATAAACTTTACATTAAAGCGTTTAGATGCCATCGGCGATTCGACTAATTACCCTCATGACGTCATCACGCCTGAAACTGAAAACAAGGAAGAATACGGAACATTACCTTCTTTATTTTATGCGTTTCTTTCTTCCTATAATTGTGCGTAACTAGGGACACTGAAGCTGCACAAGGGAGGAGTACCCTTTTCTACTGGCGAGGAAGGTAGGGTCTCTCTATATTTTTGAAAATGGGCATGGAAGTGTGTGCGTGTCGATGGAGAACTTCATGTTTTTCTGTCATGTCACATCCTGTAACGTTACATACTAACAAAGCTTTGGTTTGTGGTGCCAAAATTCGAGATCTACAGAATGTGAAACTCATTTTGTGTGTAAGGATGGTGCTTTGGTTATTACTTGTACATATTAAAGCATAGGTTTGCATGTTGATTGCTTCTCTCGGCAACCGGCCACACTAACTTATTCAGCAAATGTTCAAGTTGCATCGTGGCTAGACAGTAGTGTATGCCTAGGTCTGGTCCAGACAGACGTGTACTTTCCGTGAATCGCCCATGCCTACAACATGCATCTCCAAAACAGACAGACGCCCGTTCTCTTAAATTGTGTCGTCCCAAATTTTATTAGGGACTCTACTCCAGCAGTTATTCGTGAAAACCATGTGATATGTCATTTGATAACTTTAATAGGTTGGTTAGGGCATAATTTCATAATTTGTCCTTATTTAGGTTACTTCCTTAACTGCCCAGGTGAAGCAGAAGACTGTTCGGACTGTATTGTATGAGAGCCGGTTGTGGAGACGACCATGAGCGACACTTCAGTGCAGGTGGTCCCGGTCATGGTCAGGGAGGGCTGGCTCCACAAGAGAGGTGAGGCATGTGGGACAGCTTACAACACACATACCAAGAATTCCCCTGGCGTGTGAGAGGGCTGTTTTGTTGGGCCACATGGTACCAGGGAGGCATTGCTACACTCATAGTTGTTTCAAGTACAGAAGATCAAATGAGAAGGAGCGTGTTATGATGGCCTTTCATATTATGATCAATAAGGCCTAGAATATACCTGTGCATGGATGTACCAAGTTGTTTACAGTAACAGGCACTTTTGTCTGGGTGTGTGCTAAATTGGAAATTACTGAACGATACTGTTTAAAACCACTTACATTTTTAACTTGTTAATACTTAACTGCCATTAAAAGGAAAGATATGTGAAATATTGCTTTAGTTTAATAAAATTGGTTGCTTACAACTAATAACTTGCTTTTGACAGTTTTGTTGGAGATTGACTGCACGAGAAACTGCTGTTGAAAATAGTATTAAAATACAGAACAACTGGGGTTCCCTTTGGGTTTTATTTTCATCCCTGTCAGTTGATGCACACAATTACACTGTTTTTGACAAATTTTGAAGATCTTTCTAATCCCTTTTAGTGGCATTATCATTTTAAAGCTTCCTGTTGTCATTACCCTTATGCCATCTGCCAAGCTTTTATGGTCATTAGTTTATCCAAACTTGTTAGGTAGTCTGACCAGTCACTCTAGTCTAGGTCCTGCCCAAAGTGTTTGAGTAGAACTGTTGTGAAGACAAAGCACACAGTGTTTGTCAAGCTATGTCTTACTCTGTACCACACCCAACATTTTGACAAACATTGCATAACATTTAATGACCTTCCATCAATAGCAGCTTCCTGTTTAATGATGATATGCCATGTACAATGTATTTTGATGTTCTACGTAAGATGATGATTTGTTTCCTGTTGATATATGTATAATACTAATTATGATATAAATATATGGCAGAGTGTCAGTTGTATAACAACTTGTGTGGCATTCAAATGTGTTGGTGTTCTTATCTCCTTCCTCATATTGAGTCATAGACATGGTTAAGTTTGTTGTGCAAATTGACAGATTATCTTTGAAGCTAATTTCTTATGACTTGTGATGCAGTAATAGTCAGATATGTGTCCCGTATGCCTGTGTGGTATGTGAAGACTGAATGGTCCACTTGCCGAGTCACTTAAGTAAAGTGGGCTGTTTGCACAGTTCTAGTAAGTCAGACTAGTCAGTCCATTCAGATGACCTCCAGCTGGACACACATCATGGTACCCAACCTACATGTACTTATTTCTTACACCCGCATTGAATTCTATATTATTTCTAGTGACTATGGTTATGTAACACTTACAGGAATTATGCCATAGAGAAAAACAACATCACCACCATTTGAATTATGTATGTCTAACAAAAAAAGGAATTGAATGCTGTTACAGACAAAGAAAACAAGATTTGGTTCAAGTCAGATTGTTAAAAGTATAAAAAAAATACATTTGTAAATTGTAGAAATATCCTGATTAACATATAATAGGATTTCATCATAGTTTTGTCTTTATGTCTGCATTTAGAGAAGGTAGACTTTCTGATTTTAGTACCTGGAGTTTCTGCTAAATTTGTAGTATCAAATGAGTATGACAAAGTGCGACAAAGAGCACAATCATGAGGGGAGTCAGGAAACAAAAGAAAATTTGCTTGAAACTGACTATGTGATACTAGAATTGCTGATACAACCAAACATATGACTATAATGAGATTAAAGAAAGATATGCTGAAAAAATTGACAGAGGATTGCTTGTTCAGTATATCGTGTGACATATTGTAACATGTGTTTTGTTATATCAGCTAACGAACATTGATTTTACAAGTTTGATATGGAGATTGTCCAACTCTGGAGTGGTATCTGAATAATCCGATATATCACTCATGTACAATCAATCATGCATGATTGAAATTGTAGTTCTGCAATAGACATGGACTGGTGGCAGATATGGTTGGAACATTGTTAAATGCTGGTGTATATACTTGTTATTGTTCCAGGTGAATATATCAAAACATGGAGACCACGTTATTTTCTCCTGAAGACAGACGGGTCTTTCATTGGCTACAAAGAGAAGCCACACCCATCCAACATGAACGATCCTCTGAACAACTTCACTGTAGCAAGTAGGTTATCATCTTGTGTGGAGGACTCAGCATAACCACAGCCTTAGTCTGGCTGTCTACTGCTACACATGTGAATTTCGTTTGGCATCTAGAGATAATGGAAGTAGATAAGAATGTCCCTAGTACATGTATTATCAGATGTCTACCATGGACCACCATTATTGAGAGAACCATCGATACCCATGATGAGAGTCAGAAATAGATGAGTTTAGTACTCCTCCATCATCAAAATTAAAGCTTCTATACTTTCGGTGTAGTTGGTCTTATCATCTCTCATGTCTTAGGAAATGAGGTACACATGTATGCTTGCAAATAGAGTTGAGTACCATTTCTTTATGTAGTATTTGGAATTTTGGATTGAATCCAACTCAACCAGACACTTGTTCCCCATTTGTTACAACTTTGTTTGATTGTATCCCTGTCTGTCCAGAATGTCAGATTATGAAGACTGAGAAACCCCGCCCCAACACGTTCATCATCAGATGTCTACAGTGGACCACCATTATTGAGAGAACCTTCCATGTCGACACACCTGAGGAGAGGTGAGTTTCTAGCAGTTTGTATCCTACAGGGTATATTATTATTAAAGCTTGTTTATGTCTTGTACAAGGTTGAATTTAAGATTCATGACAAACTGAAAAAATCTACAGGTTTAAAGGCAAATAATATTTTTCTTCTTTGGTTGTCAACATTTTAAAATCCATCACAAGGCTACAAAATGCTAACCAAATGGTATTATATACGGTTAAGAATTAAGTTTCTTGATTGCAGCTCAAAGGTTGTCAGGAATTTGCCCTCTGGCTATTTCCTTCTGCCCTCATGTTTTGAATCATAACATGTACTGGAACAGATATATGCTGCCTTTTTCTTTCTCGAGGCTTTTGTGCATATTAAATTGCACCGTGACTTTGCAACCTTTTGTATGTTTTGACAACATAAAAGTCTATGAATACATAATGTTACATCCTGTGTTATATAACATGTTGTGGTAGTCATGGGTTGTGACGGGTGTTGTGTAATGGTTACATGAAAGTAAAGACTGGACGTACATGTACTACATGTATCAGCAATATAGCCTGTCATTGTGGTGTTAACTGTAAAACATATTCAAAACTCGTTACCTTTTTCCAAATGACTTATATCATTTATAATGTGCTCATGGATACCACATTTGTATTGCTTTTCCAACTATATTAACATCTTTCATAACATTTTTTTACACAACACTATACATTGTTTTTAATACTGTATTGCAAAGTTGCCTTTTCCAGATATTAACATGTATATTGAAATAACCAAAATTTGCAGCAGTCCTTGACTCGTGTTCAACATTCCTATTTTGCAATAAGCCCAAATAATAGTGATGCCGCTCGGCTGTACATGGATGTTGTTTGTAGGTAGATGTCATACGTGTTATCTGCACTATTAGGGAGGATTGGATCAGGGCCATCCAGTCAGTGGCAGACAAGCTGCAGGAACAGGAGGATATGAAGAGTAAGGAGTCCCAGGAAGGCATGCTGACCAACTCTTACACCTCCTCAGACAGCAGACCTTCCAGCTCAGGGGGCAGTGCCGCCTCACATAAAGTGGTACAGTTGCTTATGTTCTCATTACATTGTAGAATTGAGACTTGATAAATTCACGATACAATGACAATCCTCAAGTTTTATCAACATATCAATATTTCAAGAATAAATACAAGATTCTCTTAGTATGGTGTGATTGAATATCTAAAGCCATAATTGTAAAGTCAACAGCAAACTTTATTATGGCTAATTTTGTATGCACAACCACAAGACAAAATCACAAACTATTGATTTCTCTCTTTTTCCCTTGTAGACTTTAGAAGACTTTGACTTCCTGAAGGTTCTAGGAAAGGGAACATTCGGGAAGGTGATTCTGGTGAGGGAAAAGTCAAATGGTGGTCTGTATGCAATCAAGATTCTGAAGAAGGAAGTAATTGTAGCAAAGGTGAGTTCATGTATGAAACTCAGTAACTTCTAGTGGAAAAGATTTGACCTATGGAGAAGAAAATAAATTCTCTTCAAACTGGGACATTGTGTTACTTTCTTATTAATTTTCCATCAGTGGTGTAATATTCAAGAGTTAAATGAGCAGTGTGTGGTAATAATGATATTGTAATTTTTCCCTCAGGATGAAGTAGCACACACATTAACAGAGAACAGGGTCCTCCAAACAACAAGGCACCCTTTCCTCACTGTGAGTCAGCTTGTTTTGACTGTGATACATCAGCACAGAATTAGCATTCAGAGTGAAATAGTTTTGTATCAGTTCTACTTCAGTCATGGCTAATGCATGTTGTAAGTTTACTTTTATTGGAAAATGAAATTTTATTGGAAAAAAATAGTTGCTATGGTTATTTCCATAATAAATGAATTTTTTGTCTGCTTTCTTCATCATAGAATAGGGTATAGTATGCATTCCAGTCCCATTGTAGATTGTAAGCAAAAGTTAGACCCTTCTAAATATATATTCCAGCACTTCTGGTGTTATCTTGCTGACTTTGCTCATTTCTATCTGCAGGCCTTGAAGTACTCATTCCAAACAAAAGACAGGTTATGTTTTGTGATGGAATACGTAAATGGGGGAGAGGTAAGCATCTCTTTCCTATTGTTTTGTTTTTAAGCTGGTAAGTAAGATTGGAGATATGTATGCTTGTTCAGTGCGATGTCATACAGCTGTACCAACAATCCAGTTTCTACACATCCAGTGTGTAAAAGTCTTTGTGTGACAAGAAGGCTTCTTTGGTCATGAATATGCAGTTTTTGCCTGACTTTTAACCATACACTAGCCTAATCCTACAAAAGAACTCTGCTAGTGGTAAGACTAAGATATTTGAAATCAAACAACTCTGGGTATGCACACCAGACTAATTATTCTAAACTTGCATTATGTACATCTTGAGACCTGATGGAAACATACATATACAATTATAGTATAGTAATGGAGATACAGTGTAGCTGCTGCTGTTTGAAATACCCTTGGTTTCTTTCAGCTGTTTTTCCATTTATCTCGGGAGCGGGTGTTCTCGGAGGACAGAACAAGATTTTATGGAGCAGAAATTGTGTCAGCCTTAGACTACTTACACAAGGCCAACATCATCTACAGAGACCTGAAGGTAAGGCTTGGAACAAGTTGGTTAATTCATTACATTTGCCCAAGGTCTTATTTCTGTATTCCAGTATTCATGTGTAGACTAAAGATGCATCAACACATCCTACATCACTAGGAAAAACACAGGAGAGGAATCCAACTAACATGTTATTTTGGAATGATATGTCATCCAACGTTGAACATTTTCTTGTCAAGCATTGATGTATGTGTGCTCAAAACCTTATTGTGTCCCTAGCTGGAAAACCTGATGCTGGACAAGGATGGTCACATCAAAATCACAGACTTTGGGCTGTGTAAAGAGGACATGAGATTTGATTCCACTACAAAGACGTTCTGTGGCACACCTGAATACCTCGCACCAGAGGTTCGTCCATGCTTTCATGATACTGTTGAAAATTAAAGACAGTAAAGAAGCTGATATTAATCCACGTCTTCTCAGTATGCAAGTTGCTGTGTAAGTGTAGTAATAGTGTTTTGCACTTTGTTTGATGAGCAGTCGTATGCTTCAGATCTTTCAACAGATGGTGGGATAAATTTGCCACGTGTTTGTCTCCTGCAGGTCCTGGAGGATAATGACTACGGCCGCCCTGTGGACTGGTGGGGACTGGGCGTGGTCATGTATGAGATGATGTGTGGTCGCCTGCCATTCTACAATAAGGACCACGAGGTGTTGTTTGAACTGATCCTGATGGAGGAGGCAAGGTTTCCCAGAAATATCACAGAGAACGCCAAGTCCCTGCTGTCAGGTCTGCTCATCAAGGATCCCAAGCAAAGGTATCATCATTCTCGTCAGAAACCAAGGGTAGCACCTCTAGACGTTTAAGCACTGAGCATTGGCATTGAAATATTCCACTTGTAGAAAACATATGGAATCATTGAAATTGATTACAATCAGATTACAATAAAGCTTTACATACAGGTATTATGTAGATGATCTGTGCAAATGAAGATTTTTGTTTTTGTTGTAGACTTGGTGGAGGCATCAGGGATGCTGATGATGTGAAAGAACATCCCTTCTTTGCTACTGCAGACATCAACTGGCAGGATGTGTATGAAAGAAAGGTTTGTTTTTTCTTCTTACTCATCCTGTATACAGTTGATCCTTTCCTTACAGAGTGATTTGTAAGATGCTGATTTGCTCTTAAAGCACTGTCAAAATATAGTAGTTGCAATGTTCTTTCAATTTAAGACACAATTTTCTGTATAATTATTGCATGGTGTTTTCTTGTCCCTCAGTTGACACCACCATTCAAGCCTCAGGTGTCATCAGACACAGATACTCGCTACTTTGATAAGGAGTTCACAGGGGAGTCTGTGGAGCTAACACCACCTACTGAATCTTGTAAGTACATCTTCAGTGGAAAATGAAGTGGTGTTGCATTGCTCTCAATCAAACATTGATCTCATAATTAAGCCTAAGTGTCCCGTTTTAGCCAGAAAAATTTGTCAGATGAATGAGGCATATGTTATTAATATGAACAACCCTTGGCAAAATTACATTTTGATTATCTTTATTTTTTTTTAATGTTCTGCAGGGATAAGTACAATATTAGTAAGGAGAGCTTTGAATCATTTAGTTTGTTACTTGCAACATGTGTGTTTTTACATCTGCTGCAGGTCCTCTAGACACCATAGATGAGGAGAAGCCACACTTTGAACAGTTCTCATACTCTTCCTCTGGCAGTCCTTTTTGTCGTACCTGATAGAAGTGTTCCCATCCCCTGCCCCCAATGTGAGCAAACTCATCAACAGATTAAAGTAGTGATGTCAGAGACAGAGTGAAATTTTTGGTGCATGGCTCTGAAGTCTTGGTTGTAAAAGACATCACAAACACCATCTGCAATCTTTAAGAATATGGAACTTCATTCAAAACCGTAATCTCACTACTGGTATCTCTGTCATCACTACTCCCAACATAAATGCCTTTCTCCTTGTTTAGTTTTGTTTCTTTCCCCTAATTTGTATCAGTTTGGTTTTATTTTAAGTTGATTTTACCCCATTGATGCTGAAGGCCCCCAATGTAGACTGACTGGCCCCCTCCAGCCAGACTTGCGTTAGTCATCTGACACACTGGTGTTTTCTCTTGCAGCTCCTTTGGACACCATAGATGAGGAGAAGCCACATTTTGAGAAGTTCTCCTACTCTTCCTCTGGTAGCCAGTTCAGGTGCACCTGATGCTCTCCCTCATCAACCTCCATCGCCTAGGCTATCCAAAAGGCTTACTTGCAAATATATATATATACATTTATATATATGAAGATATATATATATGATAGCAATTATAGCTGATGAGATGAGCAAAGTTATGAGACAAGTACATGTGATACAGCTTGGTGCAGGTGGCCATAGCCGTGAAGAAAACAGTAAGGAATAGACTTGGCAGAAGCTGTAAATGTAATATTGACTGAAGGCTGTATAAACTGTGCCTACTTACATTCATTACAGCCTAGCCCACAAGGTGTGGGGCTTTCAGAATGTAGTGCCATAAAGGAGACTAATATACAAACCTTCTGTCAACACATGGCAATAAGATTGTGCATACTTTATGACGAGTCACCTGAATTAGATATAGGCATCTTTTTAGGTGTAGAGAAATTATGTGTCACTATTTGATTGAATAATGTAATGTTAAGGCTGGTGACTTTCCTCAAATTCCTGCAGTCCAGGACAATGTATCTACAGATTGTTTGGTGTATTTTGCTTAATACACAATATTATATGTGGGACTCGCACTTGTTACAATTGCTTATGACATGAATTACTATTCAGCTTAAAGGATTGTGTAAAAGTTTGGTTAGCTTCTTATTTTCATTTTTTTCCAAGCCAAATGTATTACAAGATTTATTTCATTGCAGATTTCATGTCCAATGCAGTTTATCCTTGGCAAATCAATGGTACATAGTTTTTATATTAGACTTTCCTGCAAATAGTGGGAGACTATTCATTCCTTGCAGAGGCAATCACTCGTCTAGATCGCCAATAATACCATATACAGGCTGCTGTAGGAAATATGGGCAAAAACCTGTCACAATAGGTTTCATTTTACAAAAGCTGATGTTGTGCCAACTTTTCAGTGTGGGTATTGTTTATGCATCACTGTCAGCATTTCAAATGAGGCATTTCTTACTTGAACTTAGTCATTAGTCGCCACAAGGCTACAGGAAAAAGACATCAACCACTGCATCGCAATTATCAACTTGTGTGAACAAGAAGGTCTAACCTCCTTGGTGTGAAGTAACGTTTTTACAAGTAACAAAGTATTGTTGCCAGTTGTTGAAGCAACCAAAGCTAGAAAATGTTGAAAGGTCATGGGACAGATATTGTGACATCATAAGAAAACCAGGCAGTACTGTCCCACCACTTGTCTATTCAGTTGGAAACTTCCCAGCTGCTCTTCCAGTTGGCTATATTGTGTGGTAGGAACACCTGTTAACAACATGATATCTGTACTTCTTTGTTAGGAAAGTTAATCCACCAAAATACTGTACCTTAAGTTATTTTTTGAATGACATCTGCACATTGGTTTTTCTTCATGGTAAAGTATACCAGAAGATGTCTTATTCTATCTGAAATGTCTCAATGCTCAGCAACCTTGTAGAACATGCTACTTCAGAACTGCATCATAGAGGCAACTTTAAACAGGGTGGTTTATGTATAAGTAGGTGATACTACTGTGCAAACAAAAATACTGTAGCTCTCTCCATGTTGTAGGTTATAATATAAACAAAAAGATTTTACATGTGGTAGAGACAGGATGAATGAATGCCAAATGAACCACAGATTACTACCCTTTATTCTGTATTCATTATCCTGACTTTTAAAATGTGCATTGTGAGTTTTGTTCATTCAGCATCTTGACCTCTTAAAAAATTCTTGGGATGCTATTCATAAAGGTAACTAAATATACTTGTACAGTTGTACTGGACAATGGTACAAATTGCTTTGGAGCATTTTAAATGAAATGTACATCTATCTGTTGCAGCAATACTTATGAATGGGCTTGCCATTATCATTGAATAGTTCCTGTACAAAGATGAACATTGTGGAAGGTTAAATATGGAAAACAGCAACATAGAATAGACTTGATCACAAGGGAAGAGGTGAAAGTAAGCTATTACTCAGCTGTCTGGATGTTTTTGGTCAAACAAAAATTTTCAGGTAAACATTTTCTATGTATGCATTGTACATTATGTGTTTTCTTCCAAATTGTTCCATACAACTACAACCATAGAATAAGTGGGTTTCTCCGTATATAGAGCTTCAGATAAATGAAGGTAATGTGTATTAACAGGGGTGTTTTAACCATTGCTGCATCATGGGCTAATTGTAATGCCTAGTTCTGATTAAACTTGACACTGGGAGGGTTAATGGTTTCTGTCAACACTGATGCAACAAAATTTTCGTAACTGTAATCCAGTATAGCTCTTGTGTGTCTTAATTTGTGTCATTGTATTTACTAGGGAAAAAACACAGTGTGTAGGCTTTCTATTCTTCTGCCATAGAGATTATTTTTGACACACTTCTGTTACGCCTTTCTTTTTATTGTCTGAACATTAAAAAAGCATTATGGCACTAAGATTGCATTATGTTTTAAAATGTCAAGGAAATCTGGCATCTGTTGTGGAAGTGTTTTCCTATTTAGAACATTGGTGAGTTTCATGAATTCTGGAAGAAATTTTGTGGGCATACGATCAAGGGTATGAATTGTATTGTCCAACCATGTAAGCTTATTCTAGACATGTGCTCTGCTTATAATACTGTAAATGCATTTACCTTTGCAGCGGTTTTATTTTGCAGCAGGGGAAAAAATAAGTATTTGAGGTTCACAGTTGAGACAATTCTAGAGTGTAGTAGAACTATAAAACACATTTGGACCGATGGTTTTGTGATCAGAGGTCACCCAAAAACCACGGAAATAAAATCAATGCAAAAGTTTCTGCATTTACAGTACATTGCTGTAACAATCTGTCATTGACTGAAAAGCTTTGTACCTTCTAGCAAGAAGCTTCCATCACCTGTAGAATGTCCTTGCTTCTAGGCTGTACTCTCATGGATAGTTACTGTACTGATCACTATAGCCTTTGTCATGAATAAGTCAACAATGCACCATTATTCATGACATGGTATGATTTTAAGCAGATGCTGCTGAAACAGGTTAATTTGTAGAGCAGTGGTTTGTATCATTAATCCACTACACAGACACTACCAGGGCCAGGCACATTCAAATAGATTAAACTTTATATGATAGTAGTAGTAGAGAAAAATGCAGGATACACTGACATTATATGTTTATGAAATGAAAATTTAAGCTTTAATATTAAGAAAAACCTTCAACATTACTCTAATTTGCTTGGGTTTCTTCTGAAGATGGAAAACTTCTGGCTGCTATGGTGTATCCCTACACCCCACATGCTATTTTATAATAAAGACATAACTTAGAACAATACCTTTTGCAAAGTTACTAGTGAAGCTGATCTGTTTGGATCATAGATGATCTCAATGATTAGATTGAAATGGCTGCTGCTGGTCCGGTCACTGCTGCCCACTGGGAACTGAAAAAAAAGGTTGCTGGTTGGTTGAAAGTGGGTCTAATAGTACAGAATATAAAATTGGATGAGACTTTTAATGTGGTGTATGACAGCGGGTGGTTGGGATGTTGTCCGTGTCTTGGTAGGTTTGCGGGCGGAGGGGGGGGGGCTGGTGCATTGGAGGAGAAGCTGGAAGGATTGCATTTTTTTTTAGCATGGGGAGGGGTATGGAAAATATTTTGGAGTCAGGGATGGCAAGGGAAAAGTGTTTTGATCTGACAACCTGCTCCTTCCCCCATACAATAGTGAAAATTTAACTGTTCTCCAATTCAAAAGGAATTTGACTCATGGGGCCTTACACCATATATTCAAAGACAAATCAAAGTCTACTACTGGATAAACAACAGAGATAACTTCCGGACGTTTTGAGTGACTTCCGTCATTCTTCTTCAGAATCACAAAATGAACTGAGAGCACACCATATGTATAATTTGTACAAGTACTAATGAGCACAGCAATCATAGATACTTTGCTCATCCTGCCGAAAGACTTCACCGGTCCATCAAGGAGGTTCAACCTCCTTGGGTCGATCTACAATGCTACCTCTCATCAGAGTAATCAGAGTACACAAGTTCAAGTAAACTGATGACCTGAATAAAAGCTTTAGAGTTGGAGGTTTCGCAGTGCATTGTGGGATGTTAGCGTACCGTGTGCAAGAGGCGGCAAAAATCAGCATGGCAGACGACGAAGGAAAGGCGTACAAGGCAGAATATGCCAAAAGTAACCGGGCCTCGTGCAAACTATGCAAGGGAAACATCACAAAAGACTCCCTTAGGCTTGCCAGAATGGTGCAGGTACGTATAATGGTCTAGTATGTACAGAGGGAGAGCAAAATTCAGGGGTTTCCAGACACGATCGTGCACAACATGGCCAGGGCAGACGCTCGTGTCATGGCCACCGTGTGGCCATTCAAAGCAAAGGGCCGTAGCGCGTATATATTGCGCTACAATTTGAAACGTTATATTAGCCGTTTTTTGCTCAAGAAAGTATTGAATGTGCTAATGCTTGCTCGTAGGTCTTAGGTGACAAAATCTGGCAACATAAATTTTCACGAATACGAAGACAAATCTCAACGTTGGCCATTGCCAC